CTCTTTCAATAAAGTTTAACGTTACCGCTATTATTATGCCATTGCGATCATCATTTCGCTACCATTATCGATATATGTACTTGTTTACGATATTTTTAGCGATTCCGTTATCGTATGAGTCTTCGATAAATATCTTTAAACGATAACAGCTGTTCCAAGGTCAATAATTTCAATTACCTCCATTTTTTCGATATAACGAATGTAAGCAACTTGAGCTCTCAACTATTTAAATCATATTTCACTATCTCACCTTTTTGAAATTCGCAACAATATAATCAATTATTCGTGACTCCAATGGTTTACATTTTATATCAGCTTCGAGTGAAATCAGCTTGCGGAGCAAAAAATCGTTTAGATGATCCATCAAATAGTCAACGCAAACATCGATAACGCCATCCAAACGTAACGTTACAGCACCTCTGATCATACGCTCTGCATTACCCGCCGTTATATCCGTTTGCCCGTTGTAGCAATAAACAACCAATTGTTCAAAAGTATCGCTATCAACATCTGTTATAGTCATTGACTGACAACTGGGTTCTGTGCGGTCGAAGAGGTCCAACAGCGTGGGACTAGCCGCGGCGAGAATCAGGCGATGTGCAGTAAAACTGCATTCATAAATAGGTTGAAGAGAAGAGAGCAAATTGAGGTGGAGATGTTAGCAGGGAACGAAAAAAATAGCATGAGAAATAAAAAAATTAATATTTTCTAAATACATATATAAAAAATAAATAAATTGAAATAAAATAAAAACTAAATAGAATGAAACGAAATAAAAATATACTGAATAAGAAAAGTAAACAGTACAAAGTAAAATAAAATAAAGTAAAATATAATATTTTAAAATAAAAGAATGAAATAATAAACTCAATTACAAAAAAAATCAAAAAATTAAATTAAATTTAATAAATAAAATTTCATTGAAATAAAATGTCCAAAAAATAATAATAAATAACTAACTAAATCAAAAAGATTCATTGAACTAATGAAATTAAAATCAGAAATCAAAATAAATTAGAACCAAATATAATTAAATGAAATAAAAAAGAAAGTTTGAAAAAAAATAGTATAAAGTAAAATAAAATAAAATAAATTAATTTCAAATAAAAAAAGAATAAAGTAATAACCTAAATTGCAAAAAAAAATAAGAAAATTAAATTACATGAAATAAATAAAATTTCATTAAAATAGAATATCTAAATACAATAATAAATAATAAAAACTAAATTTAAAATAAAAAATTCAATAAAGTAAATAAATGAAGTTTAATTAAAATTAATTATTCATGTCAAAAAAATATATCGGCATATTCATATTCAAAATAAAGTCAACACTAAAGTTAGTTTCAGTTTTTTGACATAATTTTCTATGGAATTTCTGTTAAAAAATCTGCAACTAATTTCAGTGTCGACTTTATTTCGAATATGAATACGCCCCATATATATTAAAAATGAGATATTAAAAATAATATTAAAAAATAAATAAAGAAATATTACATTAAAATAAATGAAATACAATAAAATAAAATAAAAACAAAAAAGAATTAAAGTCAAAAATCAGAATAAAAAAGAATAAAATAAAATGAAATTAACTACAAAAAGTAAATTGAATAAAAAATAGTATAAAGTAAAATAAAATAGAATACATTACTTTAAAATAAAAGTAGAATAGAATAATAATCTAAGTTACCCAAACATTAAAAAATTAAAAAAAAATAATATGAATAAAGTATTATTAAAATTAAAAAAAAAACTAAAATATCCAAAAAATAATAAACTAAATAACAAAAAAAAAGAAAAACTACATTAAAGTTTGATTAAAATCAGAAACAAAAATTTTTTTAAAGTATTTCAAAAATAAAATTGCTAAAGTAATATAAAAAATTAAATAAATTTCTATAAAAAAATACAAATAAAACAAAAACAAAATTAAAAATAAAATAAAATAAAATAATAAGGATATTCATCTAAATGCCGCGTAACCCCGTAAACCTTGTAAATAAACCGCTTTTCAATACAAAATAAAGAAAGTTTACAAGGTTTACGTTGTTACGAGGGACTTATGTATGTACGCGTCTAGCATGAAATAAAAAATTACAAAATTAAATTAAAAAAATTTAAACTCACGCATAATTTGTATTAGGAAATTCAAATAATATATCTGTAAATTTCTGTTCATTATACAGTTTATACACTTGCTGCATAACTTTCCCGTTGTGCTGGAGATCAGAATTTTTACCAATTACTGGCGCTATTTTTAGCTTAGAGAGTTGTTGATTTCCTATCTTTGAAGCAAAAGGATTGACTGCGCTTCGCTCGAGTGAAAAATTCCTTTTATAGAATTTTGTATTTTCCTATTTACATAGGTACATTAGGCCGTACCACCTTACAAGCAAACAAAAGAAATAATCGCCGTAAACCTCTAAGTCTAAAGTATTTTTGCAACAGAATTTCGAACACAAAATTTTTTTTCTCAAAAATTTGTCGGGCGACACCTGTATATGTACATATTTACATACATACATATATTCGGTAATATCTTCTTTTTTTTAATAGTTCTACTGGAATAATGAAAATAATTCCTTTGCAAAAATTTTGCGATTTTTTGTGGGTTTTAATATACTGACATTACAGTGGTACTTGAGGTTAATGACCTTTGAAAAAAAAAAAAATATTTCCTCAAGACAAAAACATCCCGTAAATGCCAAGGATATGATGAAAACTGTAAAAGGGCAAAAAAATCGAAATTGCCTTACAAAAATACTTTACACGAACTTTATTTCCGGTACGGCCTAATGTATGTACATTATGCATGAATATGTGTGTGAGTTTATGCGTATAACCGCAATGTAAGTTCCAAATCCTCTTTGTTCTTGATTTCCAATTAAAAGATACGTATGTAGTATATATGAATATATGTATGTAATGTATACATAGTTATAGTTGCAAGCGCTTATCAGTTTTGAAAATTGCAAATTTGCATTGGCTCTATGATTCGCATTAGCGCTTGATTAAGAAAACGTGGGAAATATTTATATAAGTACATGTTTGCGGTTCAAGCATACAGGGTTTTACAATAAGCTGTAAAGCCAATCTGAGTTAAGAATTTAGGGGAGTGGTTACGTGTAGGTGCTTCTAAAACGATGATGATCAGAGATGTACGATAAATTACTCGAAACTGCATCTCGTCGTAATGCTGAACTTCCTGCCAGGGTAGTCTGAACTTTACACGAATTGATTTATGCAAAAAATTGACTAACATTTTTTTTAAGTTGTGCCTCTTTTGAAGTGGGTGTTCGATATGGACAATTATTGAAATTCCCGGCCAGTGTGGAGTTTTTTTAAGAATCATGTGGCAAGTTTTTTGATTTTCGATCGTCGAGTTAAGATTGAAAATTATTTGATTTGCCCTGCAAGCGATATCTTGCCTAGACATTATCTATAAGTTTTCGGAGAAACTATGCTCTAAAAATGTGAAGTTCAATTAGTTTCCCAGCATGTTCCCAAAAGATTCTGGGGTTTCCTCGCTTCAAGACTAGTTATTGTTGTTGTAGCGGCACTACTAAGCCCCACCTATTTCGGGTTGGACTAAATGTAGGGGGGTGTTAATTGAGTAGGATTAAGCTGGCATTTGAAGAGGTGGTTGGTGTCGTGCGGGGAGTCTCCACATGCCGGGCACTCATTGGGGATATTGGGATCGAGTCTGAATCAGTAGCTGTTGAGGCGGCTAAAGTCTCTTGGCAGTTAAAGCTCCATATCTGACAAAGGTGGTGATTGGGCTCCGATCGCGGCATTCATAGGCCGGGAGTCGTGGTAGGTAGTGATCGACTCCCTATGAATGCCGTTGATCGCTCGTCGGTATGTCGTTGTTTCCAGTGGTTGGTCGATGTGAGTGTAGACCGCGTCCTTGTAAATGAATAGGTGCCCCTTGACGTGCCTGTTCGGAGGCGAATTATATGAGTGGTCGACAGTCGTCAGTAATCGTCCGAGATCAAACCTCGAAACCTAAAAGAATCAAACAAGGGAGAGGAGTTTCCCTGATTTCATACGCTGACGACTGTTCGATATTGGCGTCTGGAATGGATTGATAACCACTGCTCAAAAGTAAACGGCTATCTCTCCAGACTTTCTCGCTTCTTCACTGCAAGGAGCTTAACACTCTGCCCAACGAAATCATCTGGACAAAGGAGGACAGGCTTCAATTAGGCATTCCCGCCGATGGCACATCAATTCAGAAAGTGACAACCCAAAAATTTTAGGGTCACCGTAGATAGCCTGTTCTCCGTGCACACAACCTCAGTTGTCAACAAAGTACAGAGCCAAGTCGCTCGCCGGCAGCCCCTGGGACAAAAGACAAAGAAACTTTGCTGGCAACATAAGTACAAGGCAATTGGCCGGCCTAAACTATGCTGCGCATTTTTGGTCGCCGGGGACTAGTTGGACGCAGTGGACGAAGCTACAGACTTGTCAGAATACCGCACTTCGGACAGCGACAGCGACAGAGTGCCTTCTGATGTCGCCTGAACACCACCTTCAAGACTAGTCTTATGTTCCGGTGCCTTGTCCAAACTCCCATCATCATCATTCGTTCTTCATCACCGAGTGAAGATAAAAAAATTTGCATTGACTTACTTGGATGTCCCGTTTTTTATCTCCACACGAACTCCCTTCCTCTAGTATTTGTCTGTTCTCTTGTCACAAATTCGTCTGTTCTCTCATCATATATTCGGTCGTCGACAGAACCAAACTTTTTGGGCAGGATTTGACGTATCGCTCTTACCAGGAACCAGAAGTTCATAAGTGGCTTGGATGGGTAGCTCGGATAGATAGCTTGATCAGAGGTCCTCATGGGCCGCTTGGTAGACAAGGAAGGTTACAAAGCCAATATTGAGCTCTATTATCGCATAATTGTATCGAATTCCATTTCGTATGCCATTATTAAGCCTAAATTCTCGGTTGTTATGGTTGTATATCCAGAATGTATGACTATGGATACATCTTCTGAGAGCATTGTAATCAGGGACGTGAACCGGGTGAAAAATTTGGTCGGTTCGGTACAGCGGTTCGAACCGTTTTTGCACTTTTGGATTGGTTCGTCAAAGAAGCGGTCTTTTTGGTCTTTGAACCGGGGTTTCGGTTCGGTTCAACGGTTCGAAAAACAACACAATAACGCGGAAGTTTAAGTGTCAAGTGTCTATCAAATGAGATGGGTTGCCTTTACATTTGATATTGCCACATGGTAAACAAACATGGTAAGTATTACCATCTTTAAAAAAAAGAGAAAAAAGTTGGTACATTTATCTATTGAAAATTGGTTGAAACGAACCTTTAAACCTTTATGGTAAGTGGTTCGGTTTTCGGTTCGGATCAAACATATGTGGAAAATTTCGGTTTGGTTAATGGTTCAGTTAATTAATAGAAAAAATCGGATTTCCGGTTCAAAACCGGTTCACGTCCCTGATTGTAATACCAAGCAGAGCGAAGAAGAAAGACCTATTGAGTAAAAGAGTACAAGAAGTTGTTAAAAAAAAACTTATTCCGTGGAAGAACTTGAGTTTCGCAAGGTAAAAAACATTTCTCTCTCACTTTCGCATTTCTCACTGGTATAAAATTGACAATGAATTGAAGCTCAACTGCGTGATGAGTAAATAAGACAAACAACAAGTAAAACGTAGTAAAAAAATTAAGAAAAAAGTAACTAGACAACGCAGAACACCCACCGAAAACTCACAAAAATACATAGCAGTTCATCAGAAAAAATTGCAGTAACGCAAATACGGGTACATAAGCAATACATAAGGGTATAAAAACCAGCAAGCCAAAAAAAAAGAACGCATACGCCCGCATAAGAGCCCAGAGCTCACAATTTTATCTCCTGTGCACACCCAGCATGAGTATATCGCTGTGGCAGCTGTTGCCCTTGCCGTTGCCGCCGCTTTGGCCGTTGCCAATGGTGGCATTGCCTTCTCCCGTCGCTTTGGCATTGACGCCTCAATCTGTGCTGTCCTTTGGCTTCGACGTCTTCTTTTTTTTTTTGTGTAACTTTGGCGCTTGGCGTTAGCATTTGCGCGTTGTCATAGCAACACCATCATCACACGTCGAGTGGTGTCGATGTCGGCGCTTCGAAGTGCTTTTTGTGCCGTCTGTTTACCGGCGTGTTGACTATGCCGCCATGTTTGAGCTTCTGCTTTACACCAATGGAGAAGATACACGTCACACGTCCAGACGCCCGCACGACCGTATCAACACCCTACACTGATGAAGCTATCCCATTGCTGTCTGTGGTACAGTCAACTTTTTAGCCCATGTCTTTCCGAGTTAGGATAGATGGCGAGGAAGTGTAAGTGAGCTTTTTGTAGACTTAATTTATGTGTATTTATATGTCTATATGTATGTATGTGTAGGTATTTGTATATTACGTGTCTATTAGAATGCGCGTTCGTACGTTTGCCCTTTTTAAGCGATGCTTATTTGTTGGTATTTTCGTTACGCTTAGTTACTTATTCATGAAGAGATACGAGTATGTGAGAGAAGTTTCAACACTTTTCTTTGGCACGTTTACGTCTATGTTAGTATGTTTTGGAGCCAGTATTTGTTAGGACACTTAATGGACTTCACCTGTGCGGCAAGGAAAAAAGTAGAGATTGGAAATTATTTCGAAGGCAGAAACTCATACAGCCCCATTCTCTTTTAAATTGTTAATGCATTTTTTTCTGTTGCCAAATAACTATTCATACAAGCAATTCTTACCCCGAAAGCCAACATCGAAATTGGATCTTAAACCTAAACTAGTGCACTGGATCTACACAATAGTCGTAAGTCCTTTATTGTTCTACGGCATCACCGTCTGGAAGATAAGTCACGGGATAAGTCGCTCATTAATTCCAAACTCTCCAAGGTTCAAAGAGTGGTATGCATGCTAACCCTTCTGCGGTGGACCTTCTTTCCGTGAACCTTTTCAGGAAATTGCAATGCTCTGAGACTTAATGCACCAGATTCTACCATACCCCAGACTAAACAAACAAACCACCTCTCGAGCTCGAGAATGACTAGGCGTACGATTATGTCTGCGGCCTCCAAGGCAACTCTACAACCGTCTACACGGATCCCTCTAAACTTAATCTAATGATAGAGAGTGGGATGCACCAGAAGACCTCCCATTAGACCTCTGATTTAGGCGTATGCACCTTTGTGGTGACTTCCAAGCGGAGCTCGCGGTCATAAAAGAGGCTGCACTTTGGCCTATCGAATCTTTTCTTGATCTGCCTTCATTAACCATATACTCCG